ACTGGTGGAGCTCAATGACATGATGTTGTGTGAAGTAGCCAATCCTTGCGGCAGGCTGTCGGGTGATCTTCCCTCTGGTGGGTGCTAGCACTAGCTCTCCGAAGAGGGCCTCTACAAAAATTGCCTTCCGACTATAATCCGTCCCCATGCAAGGTGGTGTCAATGAATAAACAGCGTCGAAAACCTCAATACCCCAGACTTGCGGGAGCGACCTCCAGGTAACCATGCATGTAGATCGAAGATATCATAAGAATCGACTTCTACGCTATGCAATATGATATAATACGTATGGGCAGGCAATAGGCGGGGGCGAGTCGATGAGGTAGTCATAGATTACCGAGATGAGGTCTAGGTGTCTGGGCGCCAAGGGTGCTTCCCGAGAACGTCATGTGATCCCCGGAGTCCGCCAGACTCCGGCAGACTCGCCGGACTCAACAGTCTCGATATTTTGGCGGCGGCGGCGCGAACGAAACGAGTTGATTCGGACGCGTACCATGGCTGAATGCCCCCGGATTCTTCTATATTAGATCTCTTGTTATTCGATGAATGCTCGTCTACATCACGCCCTCTCTAATGATATCTTGGAGCATCGTTCTCTTCTGTCATCTCCTTCTGAAGTGCGTTGTGAAGGGATGCATTCTGGTGACCGTGGGCATGATCGGTGCAAAGGATTCCTGGACTACATACATATACTCGACACTTGATCGTCGAATTATGTTGAGGCTTTCGGCCGTATTGCCACGCCTCGGCACGCTTTGCCTGAATCATTTCTTTGTGTGCTCCGCCCACGCCAATAGCTGTCGTCTTTCTCCCCTTTGTTTCCCTTGCCGCCAACTGTGTTCCTCTGTTGTCCTATGTAAGAGAACTCAAACCCGCCCACATCGGCCCACAACATCGCGAGAGATTGCGTGCACTGGGCGCATCAATATGTGGCACATTGTGTCTTATTGCAATTCCATCAACCTGAACCACAGTAGAATAACCCCCTTGCTCAGCGACCCATGGAAATTGCCTCCGAAAAATTCAACGAAGACCATGTGACACGGGAATCACATTAATTGTCCGAGGTGCGACCAACATAGGACAACAATGGGACACGGGGAAGCATGACGGTCCCAAAGTGACTGGAATCATGATAGGTTTGAGATGGAACATTGCGTCCTATGGTTGACAGTCCGCGGTACGTGGTACGTGGCCCCAGTCAGCGAGCCGCCACAACCCCGCAGTGTTACGCCTGAGGAGCTCGACGTACTGGAAATGCCGTATGCATGTACGGGGACCTCGGGTCGAGAACTCAAGGTGTGATACGATTCCGTATGCTCCGGGCTGCGGACATATAAAGCGGCCACATATGTTACGGATCTTACTCATTCGCTGGCGGGCCGCCTGCGGGATCTGTCAGTCGTGACGAACTTCGCGGCCACAGCGCTGATCGAAGTCGTACCACATATGTACTCCGTTAGCGTCATTCATGGCGTGGCCGAGCCACAAGAGGTCATGAAGTGCGGGGCCCCGCATTTCGAGGAGCCTCGGTGGATCCGCGAAGCTTAAAAGAAGTTTCAATTGCCGAGATGGGAGATGCAGGAGGAAGATGCTCCTCGCTGCGGCGCCTGCGCGTCCGGGCAGCTCTCGGAGATGTTGCGACGCAGCGACACGTCGCCCCGGTACAGTATATGGCATCAGCGATGCCAGCGGACCTGTGTTCTTAGCTAGATTTGGGACCAGCTTCGATGATAGAGGGGAACAGGCCTTGACATCAAGGCCCCGCCTATATGACCGCCGCCTCGTCATAACACTGATGTCCGCGGAGCCTGCAGCTGTGGGCCGAGTACAGCTACAGCAGGCAGCGAGGCGAAACAAGAAACGAAGTCCCACTGCCGCAACGTACGGGGAGCCAATACGGTTCCCCGTTACCGTTACCATACCACGCTTCCGGAAGCCAGAATGAAAGCCACGCGGCAGGTGTGAACGGTGGGGAGATGACGACACACCGTTCGGGAAGCTCTTGCCCGCTCTTCAAGGCGGCTCGTGTGGAAACGATTGCACAGCTGAACGGTCCGTCAGCGATACCGCTTGCGACTCTCGGTTGTCGAAACAACTGCGTCCCGTTTGCGAGAGAGCTGGGGGTCCTCTGCCAGTGCACGAGAGGCATTTAGCGGCCCAGGACTATTGAAGTTTGAGCGGTGGCCGCACCACTACTTTTTGTCGACCATCATGGTGCATCCGCGGCGTCACACACGGCTTGAACAGAGTGCAAACAGTGGATATCTAACGTTTCCCCGTGCATGCCCGAAGCTACACGGACCCGGTCGTCACTCGTGGGATATTGAGTGGGCTTGGAGGTTGGCTCGTGGTGACTGCGTGCTCCCAGGGTTAAGCATGCGCATTGCAGTGTGATCAGAAGTCTATCTGGGGTTTCACGAGATCCGGACAGCGGCGACATATGCGGTGGCTGGGCACGGGGAAATGGCCGCTGCAACGCCGATGACAGCCTGGAAAGGGGGAACAACGGGCAGTGGGCCGGGAAGATGAGGGCGCACAGTATCAGGGGCTAGGCGGGGATTAGAACTCAGATAGAGTGTGGGATTAGACCGGAATAAGGCGCGAGGAAGGAGGTAAGTCGTGGGAAAGATGGGAGTGGTTGGCTGGAGGGGAGTCGGGCCTAGAACCCGGTACTCGACGTCGAGTGCAGAGCCTTAAGTTATACACAGCGCCGTCTCCCCTCTGTATTTTCTTCCCTCCGTCCCCCCAACATCCCCCCGCCTCCCGCCCGCCCCCCGACTCGGATGCTCAAGCTCCAGGTCACATCCCCGTCGCCGGACACGACACTCCCCGCAACCCCGACATTAGCGGAGCTCAGCAGGAACGCTTCTGTCATTTCCTCTTCTTCATCCAACTCCTCTGCACCGGACCTCACTCTCACCACCCCAGTCCGCCCCCGCCCTATCCGTAACTTCTCGGCTCCGAGGACAAACCTCCGTGAGCGGAGCCCGCATTCTCCCACCTCCCCACTTGGACCGCGCCCCCCTCCATACCTCACGAAAGAGCTCGGATACCCCGAAGATGACGGTATGCCCCTACGCCCCCCCGCGTCCCGGGGCCAGTCCAAGTCTCGGAACAGCTCCGTGACAGGCAGGATGACCGTGGACGACTTCGAGTTCATGGAGGAGCTCGGCCAGGGCTCGTATTCGACCGTGAGTACCGCTGCAGGCGTGCTGTCTCGCGTGTCGTAACGCGCTTGCAGGTTTGGCATTGCCGACTTCTCGCCACAGGGCAGGAGTATGCCATCAAGCGGATAGACAAAGCGCATCTCAAGCGACACCAGAAGGAGCAGACCGCGCTCGCAGAGAAGAACACGCTCGTACGGCTGGGTTCTGGGCACCCGGGTATTGTGCGGTTACACTGGACCTTCCAGGACGAATGGAGCCTCTGTGAGTGCCATCAGCCACGTTTCTCGTACCTCAGCGTTTGACCTGCGCGTCTTTTGCCTTCTGCTGCGCCTTCCAGTCTTTGTGCTTGATCTTGCGAGGAATGGAGAACTGCAAACACGAATATCCCGAATGGGCTCCCTGTCCATCGAATGCGTCCGCTATTATGCCGCGCAGATCGTCGACGCGTTGGGCTATATGCACTCTAAAGGAGTGATCCACCGGTACGTTCCCCCGTTCCGTACTCCGAACTTCTCGTTCACTCGAGCAATTTTTGCGCTCCCCCAGGGACTTGAAACCTGAGAACCTCTTACTGGATGACGCCTTCCGGATAAAGATTACTGACTTCGGAACGGGCAAACTTCTGGACTCCGGAGGTCGGTGTCCGCTAATCCCCGGCATCCGCCGCCGCTAACAGCCACAGTATTCTAGGTGAGCCTACCAAGACATTTGTGGGGACCGCCCAGTATGTCTCTCCAGAATTGCTAGAACACAACGAGAGCAGCAAGAGGTGAGCTCTAGTGCTGTCTCGTGTTATGGTACAATGACCTGAATATGACGTCTTCGACACGATGCGCACCGGTCTGGATCTGCAGCTCTGATTTTTGGGCTCTGGGCTGCATCATATATCAAATGATCGCTGGGCGATTCGTCTTCCGAGGCCTGGCCGATTGGCAGAAAATCAAGCAGCTTGAGTATGACTTCCCCGAGGGCTTCGACGAACAGGCGCAGGATCTTGTGCGGAAGCTTCTCGTGCGTCCTCCGTTTATGGCATTGTATCGAAGGCAACATGTCTGAGGCCCGCGTGGCTTCTCTTCTGCAGGTCCGCGACCCTGATCAACGATTAGGTGCCGGGCCATCCGGTAGCCCGTACGATATGAAGGCGCTCCGCAGCCACCCTTTCTTCGCATCAATCAACTGGCGGAACTTGTGGTCGGGCCCCGCGCCCCCCTTAGAGGCCGGACTAATCAAGAAGGACGCACCACAACCGTCGAACATCAGCCTTCGCTTAGCTTGGGACGAGCTGGACGAGAACGCCATCGAGGACGAAGATGATCAGGACGAGCTGGACGACGCTGTCAGCTGGACATCCAACGGTGGCGGGACTGAGCACCAATATAGCCCCACCAGAACCAACGGTCATGCACCAGCCGAGCTCATCGGACCTCATGGCGAGCGGAAAACGGACGGTTTCCCGCCGCTCCCGCTGTCAAACGTGGAAGAAGAGCGGAGCAGTATGAGCGATGGCGTGCGTTTCGTCTCACCTTCCCAGGCGTCGTCAATACCTGAGGACGAGGTCCGTGACACCGTTCACGACGTTTTGGACGTCCCGGTCCCCACGCGTTCCTTGCCGATCGACGTCCCACGCGTGCGCGGGCCTGGTTCGCATTCCACAGGGTCGATCAGCAGCTCCTCCGATGGCAGCCCAGTTGACAAGCTGGCTGCGGCGCTAGACGAGGCAGCGCGGGGCCGCCCCAGGGCGCAGACGCCCATACAAGGCAATGGCTTGCACGACCCGGAGCTGTATGTCGCTTCCCTTGCTCTCGCTTTCTTCCGCGTGTTTTACGTCCCGCTCCCCTTCCCGTGGTCGTGCGAAACGCTCACTGGGATTGCCGAACGCAGGAACTCGCTGATGCTACCCGACGAGCATGTCATCTTCAACACGCTGGTCGAGGTGGGGGGCCCGAAGCGGCGCGCGAGCCGGCTCCTGGCGATGGCGGTCGCCCCGAAGAAACACCAGCAGCAGCCCCCGCGGCAGCTCGTGCTGACGACGCACCGGCTGCTGTGCGTGAAGAGCAAGCCGGGCCGGGCTGTGCAGATCCGCACGGAGCTCTTCGTGAAGCCGCCGGCGGCGGGCAACAAGGACAAGGACAAGGATCTGCGCAGCCTCGTTCTGTCCATCGAGGCGAAGGGCGAGCGCGAGTTCGTCGTCATCACGGTACGTCGGTCCATCTCCCCGCCGGATGTTTCGGGTGTGATGAGGTGCTGATAGAAGGGCTGGGTTTTTTGCAGCCGACAAAGACGCATTGCTGGGTTGCTGGGAGCGCGTCGATCGCGTCGACGTGGATACGCAAAATACAGGAAGTGATCGACGCGAACCCTGCGCCGCCCGTGGTCAGCGCGGGTCATGCGTACGGGACCGCGTCCTCGGCCACTTCCGCCGCGGCGACGTTCGCCAACGGCATCACGAGCGCCATCCCCAGAGGTGGCCGTCTGCGGAGCATCTCACGGACATGACCATGACGCGTCCTCCACCCTGCTTTCTGTCTTCTGTTCATTTTCTGTTCCATCGGGTTCTTTGTTCTTTCTTATGCGCTAACTTCGCTCACATCGTGTATCTGTACCATCCCTCTGTCCTCCTCCCGGGTTGCTCCGCTGTTCACTAGGGTTCCCCGCTCTCGGCTCGCTCGCTTGCGTACTAGGACGATAATACTGCTGTTCGGACCTCTCTCTCCATGGCGTTTCTTCCATGCACATTTCTCCTTGCACCATCGCACACATACATACAAGGTTCCTTCTCGTACACGGTTCCCCTTTACCTCCGCATATTTTCCAAAGCTGATCCCACCACCATCACCAACAACAACATAGTATATGTATTTACGGCTAAAGGTAGTTCAGGCATGTCAAGCTACGACGGGGCTCTGGCTGTAGGATATTGTTTCTCTCACGGATCTGGATACGAGTATACAAGTAGCTTACTGCGCGCACGACTGTCAAATGCAAACAAAAGTGACGCTTTCGCAGTTCTTCGCGTATATGGCGCAAGATAGGTAAGACAAGATCGCGCGCGAGAATTTGTCAGCTACTTAACCACTTGATGAGCCGGCGCACGTCCTGCCGCATGCGCGGCGGGACAGAGGATGTGAAGGGGTTCATGAAGAGCGTGAAGGGTGGATCGGAGATCCGGGTATTATAGCACGTGGCAGGCGCAGTGACTCGGGCAAAGCCATTCTTGACTGCAAAACGCGGGGGCAGTTCTCGCTCTTCTGCCACCAAAGTCTCCTCGACATCGCCTTTGAACCTCTTCGTTGGCCATGTCGAACATCGTCGCTAGCACGGTGCGCACGCGCCTGACTACAGCGGCGGCAGCGTCCAGGAGACTCAAACCCCGGTACTTCACCACTTCCCTGCGCAGGCAGGACGAGCAGAACGCGCCGAAGCCTCCTCCGCCCATAGATGACTCTACCTCTGCGCTGGATTACAAACGGACCCTGAGGCACCGCCCGCCTCCTCTGCCGGCGATGGACCTGCCGCGCTTGCGCACTGCGGAGGAGGCTGTCACGAACATCCTGTACAACACCCCGCCCCCAAGTCTTCAGCCGTTCAAGAAGTGCGTTTTGTTCCGCGTTCCATTCAGCATATGAAAGCTGTGCTCGGGTGCTGACACGTCAAACAACTCTTCTGAATACGTCAGGCATGTGCTGAACTGTCTAGTGCAGAACGAACCCGGAGTGCTCTCGCGCGTGTCTGGTATCCTAGCTGGGCGTGGGTTCAACATCGACTCGCTGGTCGTGTGCAGAACGGAGATCCGCGACCTCTCGCGGATGTGCATCGTCCTCCGCGGACAGGACGGCGTCGTGGAGCAGGCGCGGAGGCAGCTTGAGGACCTGGTGAGTCTGCGTTTCTGGGTGCCCCCCCCCCCCGCGCACACGCTCCCCTGTGTATTTTTGTCGAACGACACAGCCGTATGCCGAGATTCACGCGTTTTCCGCGAACAGGTACCCGTGTGGGCCGTGCTCGACTACACCGACACGCATTGCATAGAGCGCGAGCTCCTCCTCGCCAAGGTCTCCATCCTCGGCCCCGAGTACCTCGAGGAGCAGCTCGTCGGCGGCCCCACGCACGAGCCGCGCCGCATCTCCTACACCACCGCTCCCACTCAGCGCTCTGCTGAGCCCACGCACGAACACACCAAGCTGGAGCGCGAGGCCGCTCTCGTGCACCAGTTCGAACACTCCGCCGAACCGAGCCCACACCCAGAGGCCGAGGCGGACCCCGCGGCGCCGCTTACGGAGCCGCTCACGCCCATCCAAGCTCTACGCCTGAAGAGCGACAACCTGCAGGCGATCCAGACGCTCTCGGCGCAGTTCGGGGGCCGGATCGTGGACGTGAGCGAGCACAGCGTGATCGTGGAGATGTGCGGGAAGACGAAGCGCGTCGAGGCGTTCTTGTCGCTCCTCAAGCCGTTCGGCGTGCTCGAGTCCGCGCGCACCGGTGAGCCTCCATCCATATCTTCGCTCTTTTCTCTTTGCTTGCAGCGGACGGGAGGCTGACTGGGTCCGCAGGTCTCATGGTCATGCCCAGGACACCCATCAAGAATGTGGACGACACGGACGTCGCGGGCGAGGGTGGCGTCGTCGACGCGAGCCTGCTCCCTCCTGGCTGAGCGTTTGGGATACGTTCCCTTGCTCGCTTCTCCCCAAAAGTACTCAATTCGCATTGGATCTAGCGCGGGTTGGTTTGGTTTGCTGGATATATACTGTCGTAGTGTCTTCAAAAGGGTCAATGAGGATCTGAGATACATCGTCTCTGACAAGCAATTGTATCCCCCAATGGACCCTGTCCTTTTGCCTTGGAGCTCGAGGAGTCAGTCCTCCGCGGTGTCTTATATCATTTCCACACACGTCGTACGCACTATCCATCTCCTCTGATCTGCTTGATGCAATAGTATCCCCCAGTCATTGACGTGATTATGTCTAATTTCCGAAGATGTACCAGTGAGGCGCTAGTGACCAGCCACGCAGAGGTCTCATGTCCCGAGCCCTAGAGTGGTAGGTACCTCATCGTAGTGCTGGACCCTATGGTGGGTGGTCCTGGAGTCGCTCTACAGGACCCTGCCCCTATCCTAAGCGCATGAGGTGCGATACATCTGCTGATGGAATGGTGGTATATCACCTAGCATGGGAATGGTTCTGAAGCTACTCGACTTGCCGTTTTGTCTGGTCTAACTTTGCAGTCAAATTCGCTATTCTCAGCGTCATGCGGTCCCCTCAGGACTTGTCCCTGTGGTGTACGTTGTTCATCACTGACGCTAAACCTGTAATCCATCGACTCAACTTACTGCAAATACAACCACTGGCCGGGCGGCTTGATGGTGGCCCCAGGAGAAGGTGAGGGCGTAGCTCTGAAACGGGCCTTGCGACCGTGCCCCTGCCTTCTATACGAATTTAGTACGTAGACATTCCTGAATATACTCACCGATAAATTCAGTCATCGGGGCATGCCCCCCCTGGCTACGACGGTATAAAAGGATGCGACGGATATTCGGCGGGGCCCTACCTCAGTTCTTTTGGAGTCCCTGCACCTCTCCCAAACTAAACTCCGAACATTAGCCTCAGTGATGCCCCGTACCTCTGTGGTACTTCTCGCCTTATTCTTTTCCGCCGTCCTCGCCATCGCAATTCCAGTCCGGATCCCGGTTACCATCGTTCTCGCACAGAGGGCTGCTGCAACTCCGACTATCCCTGCCACCAGTGCGTAGTATATCTATCACATCCGGGCATATGACTTTGCTTGCTAACACCCCTCCAGTCCCTCCGGTGGTCGTTGTCGCTCCTGCGGAGACCGCAAGTTCAACGTCCCGCGGTGAGATGGAATGGCTCAGCTGAATAGGTGTGGTAGCTTCATAAACCAGCACCCCACTTCGGCTAAAATTACATATCACAGTGACTATAACCCTGATAGAGATCGTTCGTCGAAACCAATCGAGAGCAATTACAGGAACACCCTTAGCAAGCTGAGCAAGCTCTCAGCGCCTTGTGAATCATATCTTGTAGAGCAGTTGCGTCTCAAATAGTCGTAGAAACGGAAGACATTGACAGCAGTGGCGTCCCGGAGGCATATCAGGATGACTGTCACACTGTCTACAAAAGACATCACCCATATGCATCAGCTTTCACGAGCTGGTGCTCTTCTGGGCGTTCGAGAGCACCGTGCGGGCCAGTTGCACGTACTCGGCCGCCAAGCTCACGTCCCCGCCCTCCGTTTCGGTGATCTTCTCCCAGTGCGTGACGTCGCCGTCGACAAGCGTCCACGCTTCCTCCTCGGAGTGCTCCTCCACCCAGCGCACGTACTCGGCTTCCGCCCAGCCGTGCAGTTCGTGAGGGAGCGTGATGGGTGAGCGCACGAGGATATGGTGTAGCACGATGAGCGGGGGTAGCCCGACGGTGGCGTTCGGCGACGCGAGCGCCGCGTTATCCAGGAAGAGCAGCTGTCTAAAGTGCACATTCACGTCAGATGAGACGTGCACTACCATCAAGCGCAAAGACGAGGACGCACCGCATGGCGCGCAATGCACGATAGTCCTCTCCCACGCTCTCCCAGTCCGCGCCGCGCCTCCCGCTCTGTGTCTTGTCGCTCATGAACGCGCTCAGCGCGAACTCGAGCTCGGTCATGTCCGTCGTCAGCTGTAGCTTCCCGCTTTCGCCCAGCGGCTTCGCGATCGACGCGTGCAGAACGAATGTCTGAATCACGAATCGCACCGTCGCGAGCACCCACTGCCGGCTGACCTCGGGTACGTGGTACTGCGCAAGAATCTCATCCTTGATGAACGCGAGCTTTTCGACGAGGTCCTTCATGTATGGAGAGGCGCCGCCGCCCATAGCGGACATCGGGTCTGTGGAGGCGGCAAAATCCATGCGGTGGAGCTTGGCTATGATTGCGGCGAGCTCGCGGCGGATGGAGGCTAGGAGAGGGTCGACGATCTTGTCGAATGTGTCGTGGAGTTTCTGTGGGGGACGACGCTGATCGGTTCAGTGTGCTATGCGGGAGGGGAAATCAAGTACGTACATCGAGGACTGGTTGGAGGATCGACACGACCTTGTCTGGGTACTCTTCTCGCAGTTTGTCCAGTCGCGCCCAAGTATGGTAGACACATGTAGCGAGCGAACTATTCAATACTTGCTGCGCTGTTGCAACGGGGCCGACTAGGCTCGTTGCCGCGCGTTCTCTCGCGATCTAGTATGTGGTGAAATCAGTAATGGTAGCAATGTGATTCAAGCGGACAAGGAGACTTACTAAGCTGTCTAACCTGGTGAACATTAACTCTAAGCTCGATACCGCATACCGAGCGACAGACTGCACCAGTATTGGATCGAACTTGGCGGAGTCGAGCTCGTTCGCAACGGCACGAGCGATGTTGATCCCCTCGGATGTCCCAGGAGGTGCGCGTGAGCCTCCGGAGAACGCTTGGCCGACGGCCTCGTTGAGGCGGTTGGACGAGCGAGAAAGGTAGAGCGATTCGAAGTTAGAGAGTGCACGGAGGACAAGAATCGTCTCAGGACTGCGACAACATCGTTAGTAAGATTGTTCTTAGCTTGTAGAGCGCTCGTACCTTTGTTGTGTCTGCGAGTATACAGTATCCGTATGCACCGCGATCTTCGTGAAGAACGAATGGAACAAGCGCAGTAGACGTGGGTAGTTCGTGCTAAGGGTTTGCTGAAGAAACGTTGAGCCTACCAGAATGTCAGCACTAACCCTTTGTTGGACAAGTGGATACGTGCATACTTTTCGCAGCATCCCGCGCATGCTTCTCTAATGATCGACCCAAAGACGACCAGAATGTGGTGCTTGGCCTGTTCTCGAGAACTTTCATGGCCTCGTCCAGGAATACGACGTCGGTCACGGGATCGCGCTTGATCCTCAGCACTTTCTCGAGGGTGTACACCTTGACGCAGCAATCCGACATCTCCTCGATGAGGCTCTCGAGGCTTCCCCACAACGCGGCAGTCCATTGTGGGGCTGTCACGCTTGTCGGTTCTGTTCTCACACGCGACTTGTATAGCAGCCCCTGGCCGATTGAGTTTGTTTCTGTGATCGCAAGCGAACGACGCAGTGAGCAGAAGCGTCACTCGGAATATTCGTGAAGATACGAGGCGTACCTTTCGCTATGATATCCTTGGATATTCGTGTCAGGTCCAAGGCGGTTCGTATCCGATCCTCGACTGCCTGACTCAAATCGCTGACCAGATTCTGCACAAGGTCAGGCAACACTCGAAGGTTATGCGCCGTCTGAAGTGAGCTTGCAAGAAGGGACTGGTTCTACAGAAGAGTGCAACAAAGTGTGGTTAGCGGGCAGGTATCATCTCGTTATCCAGCACAGCGGGAAGACCCACTAGTGTCCCGAGGCCAGTCAGGACCATCGCCTCCATATCGCTGGTTATGCGTGCATGTGCGGCATCAACGAACGGCAGATGAGCGGCGACGGCCTTGATTGAGCTGAGGGGTATGTGGTCGCCCGCACTCGGCTCGTCTGCACTGGCTTCACCAACCGCTGGGGGATTCAGCAGGGTCGCTGTGAAGTGGCGTTATCCCGGTCAGTCGATCCCCTTCTCTGATGGTACTAGTACTCGAACATGGGAAGGACAGAAAAGAAGGTGGGACAGCAGAATGCAAAAGGACACTGACTCAACTCAGCAATAGTGAGAGCAGCCTTAGCAATCGCACGCTCCTTCTCATCTTCGTTTTCGGCCAGAGGCGTTTCTGCACGGCCAGCCGATGTCCCAGCTGACGTTGAGGCAGAGTTCGATTTCGCGCTCTCAATTGCGGCAGACGTGTCAGTCTTATTCATCTCCGCCAGCTGAACCTCAAGCCGCCGCACGAGAATGACGAAGCGTGATGTCCGCCGCAGGATGTCGGATGCCTGCTGTATTCGATCGAGCTTGGTAACATGTTTCTGAAGGGATTGATAGGGCATTCGTATCTTGACGCGGAGCCTAGGCATTTGACGAGGCGTCAGTGATCATGCAAGTCAAGGCCGAGGAGACATTGAGACAAAGTATGAATTGTGCACGACCGTTCTAGTACCATACGAGCTGCTATCATGCTCTGGTACACGAAGGTGCCGACCGACACGACGCCATGGGCTCCTAGGACGCCGGGCTTTTCAACAATGGGGTCCGATGAGAGATTTTGCGGTGCGGACCACACATTTGATGGTGGGGACCATCAACAGTTCTTGGCCGCATGGACTATCCGGAGGCGTTTGAGGTGTGGCAAATGGAAGGTCACGTTCAGTCGATGAGGGACATAGAGCCTCTCCACCCTGCTGCCTTGTGGGACGCCAGGGACAGCAGACAACATAAGCGCAGAACACAGTAGCGATTCCAGGGCGATTCCACAGCGATTTGAGGGAGCGCTTCCGCATCGCTCTCACCGTACCAAACAGTGCTATTGAACTGTACTCGCACAACGAAAACAGCGCGGCCCGGGTGCAAGACTTCGAGCGGAGCTCCGCAGATAGTGCAAAAGCAAGCCATGGATGAGGGCAGGACGCTTCCTCGTTGCGAAAATGTCATGCCAAAACATTGCCCAGATGTTTGACTCATCTTGTATCAAGAGCAAGGGTCTCAGGGAGACGGTGCTGGGCTGATCTAGAGGCTCTCCCTTACCTCTGCGGTTCGTCTGGTTTAGTAGTCCGTCCATTTCTACCAAAGGCCATTCACTGTCTTTCGGCACAGACCTGCGTGGAGTCGCTGTGGAATCGCTAGCTATACTCGCTGGCGGAACCGCCGTGCAAGCGCTACTGTGTTCTCCCCGAAGGCCAGTACCGCCCTTAGGCATATTACGCGCTCATGGAGGCGCGCAGTGAAATGGACTGTTGATGACCGCTCAGTGTCTGTTCCGCCTTACAGTGCTCCCGTGAACTTTTTCCACATCGGCGTCCCGAGCGAGCGGAAGACCGCAGACGAGGATCGCTCGAATTGTCCGCGCAAGCAAGGCGGGGTGCAACTCACGTAAAGGGGAGAGGACTCACTTCTCGAGAGAGGAACCGAGCTCGTTTAGGCCAGTGCGGACCGAGCCCAGTGAGCTCTCTAGGCCCGATACCCCAGCAGCCTGCACGAGTAGACTCTCGTGATGCGTGGTGACCTGTGTAGCCGGGTTAGTGAACGTGACACATCCTAGGACAGCTATGGGGGCGCCAGTACGGCGAAAGATACTGCGGCGATACCTCAGTATCACTCCTTGTGGAACTTAAAGTAACACGTGTAGGGATTCTTCTTCTAGAAAAGGTGTATGCGTGAAGTGCGTTACGTCCTCTCGCTCTCGCTGGCCCAAGAGTGTGTGAAGCCGGAGAGTAACCTTGAGGTAAAGCGCAATTCTCCCGGACGCACATCGCGCGTACTTGGTATGCCCGACCATCCAAAGAGACCGTGCCTGTGAGGGCACGGTACGATCTTCCCCAACGCCCTCCGAACACGAGACTACTCACCACATTCTTTAGCTGCTTCTCCACATCATCCAAGTTGAAGGTCAGCTTGGAGATCGCCACAGAAACGTCCTCACTAGCAGGTGCCAAACCCGGGGTCTTCACGGGCTTGGTCTTGCCTGCCTGTGGAGGGTAGGGTTCTCCAGCTAGGATGGCGTTCGCGTAGTCGTTCGGATCGAATTCCGGCAGCACGAAGACAGCATAGTCTACAAAGCAGTAAGCAACAAGGCATGCTACATTGTGAGAGAGACCGACCAGACATTCAAGCAGCTCATGGATCTCGCCGTGGAGGACAAAGGTGAACGAGAACTGTCGTCGCCTCGATGCACAGACTGCTGGATCTCGATCTTATCTAATCTTGTCACGTTCGTGACGCGGCCCCTACTTAGTGTTCCTTTACCTGCTGCTTCTGCGTGCCTCGCCGCCCACCGTCTGCTTTGTCTTCAACCTTCCGACAAGCCCAAGACCTGCGATCTGTGTTGCACTGCGTCTCGCTTCGACGTCCTAGGATTGTGTCTCTCGACATATCCGCCGACTACGGAACAATTGCAATCGCAATTACAGGTTGCGCATAAGACGAGGTTGCTAGGACCGTATCAGCACAAATTTCCAACCGCGCAGGCGACGATCACCAGAAGCCCTTCGTTTCTGTACGGCCATGGCTGATCTGAGAACAAACGAGACACGACCGCGTGACGTCACGTCGAGGGCTATAAGATGGGAGATTACTGGGCCAGATGACTACTAGCAGTCAGCCTAGTCCTTTCCCGTACGCCACAGACAGCTTCGGCTACTCTTCATTCTCACACCTCTCCTAGGGCCCTCGACCTCGATCCTTGCTCAGAGAATATCTTCTCCGTCCTTCCCGACTACAGCGCATGGCCTACAACTACTACCAAAACCAAGCTCCGGGCTGGGGAACAGCTCAGGTACACGCCGCTTTGTCCCGTCTTTCATGTGGGTCGCGTTCTTATACCCCCTCAGTTTCAGTTCGGTGCACCGCCAGTACCCGCTTTCCATCCTCAACCCACTTGTACGTCTCCATCTTCTCTCGATGCGTATAATCATTTCCAAACTGGAGGAACCTGTAGGGAGGGGCTATGACTTCTATAATGCCCATGCCTCGAACCCAGATCCGTGAGTGTCGCATCGGTTGATCGGCGCTCCTCCCTCTTACCTCGATCTTCGATCGTGTCTCTTAGTGGTCTCTTCGACTCGATTATGGGCCGTCTACGAGAAGTAGTCGGCCTAGGCATCGGGCATACCGAGGCTCGACACTGGCATAAAAAGATCTACAGTGGCATGGTGAGTCCGACCCGCCCTCCTGTCACCCACCTCGCTCCCCCAAACACACGCGCAGTTCATTTACTGAGCCCCAATGACGCACATAATTCCAGGTGCCATTGACCCAGCTTCTTCCGGCCGATATTGGCGCCGCCGCCGCATATGAAGCCTATCGCACTTGGAAGTACAATTCCTTCCTCCACGAGCCGCTGAGCGCAGATCGTGAAACACAGCGCGAGGGACTTATCGGCATGGCCATCGCTGAGAGTAAGAGACATGTCCCAGACTGTACGATCTGATGTTAACAGGTTTTCTCGATGACTTCTTATAGCGCAACGCCTGTGGCAGTATTCCGGAAGAGGACTCGATACTTATGGTCTCCGGAACGCGTGCGAAGCTGCCGCGTCGGCAGGGAACGCTCTTGCTGATCGGGTGGGTGTGCTTCCCAGTTGATGCCTCATGGCTCACCGCATTGACATTCTTGTCTCCGGTCATCTAGCTCTTCAACAGCTATGGTGGTGGTATTGGGCGTAGCCCCTCTTTTTCATCCAGCGGTGATCCCTATGGATATGATGACCCCTATCACCGTCACGGGGGACGCAGTCGTCGTAATTCCTTCAGCAACCCTGCTGTCGTCCGCGTTGGGGGATCTCCTATGTTAAGCTCTGCTGTCCCAAGCTACGCCGGTAGTGTCCCCGGCGCGCTCCCCATGCCCATCTCAGGCCAGGCGATGGGTCCAGGGTCGCCGTACGGTGCAGGCATGCCAGGATCCTACGGCGCGTACGGCACGCCTTACGCAGCGTCCTCGCAGCCAGGGCTGCCTGGATCCTACGGGTACGGCTCCGGCAGCTTGAGCGGAAGAGTCTCCCCCAGTCCATACGGCACCCCACAACCCATGGCAGGTGGATACACGTACAACGGCATGCCTGTTGGCGGTTACGCCGGGAGTGCCTCCCCGTACGGCGGAGCCGCCCAGCAGGGCGGTTACGTCCTACCAAACGGACAGACCGCCCCACCCGGTTCGACTATCATTATCAATCACCGCCCTCGTCGCCACTCAAGCGTAGGGAGGCACCACCATCATCGCTCGGGCAGCGACTACGATGACGAGTGGGACCGAGGGAGAGAGAGGGAGAGGGAGCGTGCCGATCGTGAGCGTCACGAGCGCGACAGGCAGCGTTGGGAACAGGAGGAACTCGCACGTCAGCAGTATGGCCAGGACGAGTACGGCAGGTATGGTCGTGTCGGGAGCGGCATGGGTGGCGGCGGCTATGGGTATGGCGGTCGCTACTGAGCGCGAAAGTAGTCAGGTGAGATGAGTGCGTCTGCATCCAAGCTTTAGTACTGCCTCCTCACTTCTCGTCAGTCGCATTCCAGGGTAGTCTATGTGTCAGATGGCGGAGCCACCTGCTGAGACCGCTGTTTTGGAATGTCTGGATTCACATCCGAATTCAAGGATCATACCCTATGCATGTTCATTTCCTTATCCCCTCTCGCAGCGATCACGGTGTTGCTATCTTCGCGATTGCTGTAGCCATGCTTTATAACGTATCACATTCGATCCTTGTACTTGTGCGCATGCTATGTACTCGTGCTTGTCTTGCTTATCCGCTGTATATTTATACGTTTCCTGAGTACTGACCGCTGTACTGTATGCTATGGGATAGTTTTGCCTTAATCGATATGCGCTCAGTATCATCACTTCATGGCCCGTCAAGCAGAATCTGTCACCTTCAAATAGGTAGACTTCCCGTATCGTCCTAAGCTTGCTTCACCCACCACGGCGATGAGCATGTCCATTGCGCGGGGGGCTGCCGATCAAGCCCTCGGGATGACGGCATCACACACGCTCCAGCGAAAAATCTACGGATTACTAGGCACGCATAATGCTCCTTACACAACGCCTAGTTGGTATTATGCATCGGTCATGCGTCATGAGGCCAGAGCTAGGGATGTATACGCGCGCAGCCCGTTGATAGTATTGTACCTGGGGTGTTGTCCGATCGGACAATGTAGCGACTCGTTATCAGTGTGACGGGCCGTACCGCTTACGACTTGACGTCCGATGAGATGGAATGCACAGAGAGGTTTGCAAATATTCGGTGTCCAGAATGTTGTCCGTTACACTGAAGTGCGAAGTGCATAGCGTTCTGCCTAGCCGATTTATATTGTATCCACGCCACGGGACCCTGGTAAGTGCCGATATACGGATATTTGACGTATCGTTACTCGGCATCGGGATATGTGTGTTGAAGATATCATCACGAAGGAGGACGTTCAGGATATAACAAGACAGAAGACATCATTGCAATTATTGGGACGTGGTATATGGGTAGTAGATTTGTCTAGAGGCCAGAGGCTAGAGGCTAGTAGCTACAGGATACAATGAACCATGACATAGAAGTGATGAGTACCTCATTGCATGAGATATCGTCGAGGATACCGAGACGAGAAACGAGACGAAAATGGCGCGAAAATTCCCAGCCGAAAATATACAGAAGCATCCGGAACCATCGCAACAACACTGCTCCATACAGCGGATAACCATGCAACGCGATGGACGCTCCATGAATGCAATATAAATTGAATACCCTGACGTGTCCTTGACATCCGGCACGAGCCGCAAAGCCACGCTCGCAGAGGTCCCGATTCCCGATGGGCCCGTCTGCCAGCGTTTCAGAGAGAACTCTGCATCAACTTCCCTAGAACGACATCGCACCCCGCCGAGTTGCCATCGACAGCTAGGCTTCCATTGGGTGCATGGAGCTGCGCAGCCGACGCCCAAGTAGCGAGTACGTACGGGATGCCGGCCGCAAGCACAGCCCAGCCTCCCGCCATAGTTAACAGCGGTCTAGAGCGCTAAACCTGCGGTGGGAAGCCCGATACATTCGCAGATTACCACAGCGAAGGCTGCTCATACGCTGCGGCTGAGGAGTGCTGGCGGCCCAGAGTCGAGCCCGAGAGTGCGACAAGCTCCATGGCAAGGAGGGTGCGTTCAAGCAGCTGGATCCCTTGCCAGGTGCTCTGGAACACACGTGCACTCTGCGGATCGGAGACCCGCGTGAGCTGGGGCAGGGTTTCGTTGGAGATGCCGAGATCCGCCGCGAGACGCGTCACCATCTACAGATGACGTGTTGGGGAGCGAGTACCCTGGTGAGCGGGATGTTGGTAGGAGTTAGGGGGAATCGACGTACTCGGGCGTAGTCATTGAACATGGCCTGCCTCCCCCTCTTGTATTCAACCCAAGCTAGTAGCATGACCGCGTGCAGCGTCTCGATCGTAGTGTGTGCCCCTGGTAAAGGGATGAGACTCTGCAGGACAGGTGGTCAACGCGGCGAGAATGTGACCTATTGTCTCCCCTTACCTTCGTTACCTGACAGTAGACATCCGACGCATTCGCAGGTCCGATCTGCACGATCTCGTTGACCGTAGAGAAGCTAGTGGCAGCAAGGTGAACAAGGCAAGGGAGGTAGTCGAGATCAACAAAGCGTACCGAGCGGCAGATGCGGCGATTGCGTTGGCCAGTAGTGGCGACAGTCGCCTGTGAAGGAACCGCTCGCAAATGTTCCCCGACGAAAGGAACGGATAGGCCGGTCCCAATTTCTCGAAAAAGACGGTCAGGAATGACATCATGAGGTTCGGGTGTGGATGCTGATGATCGCTTGCATCGAACAGTCCAAGTAGTGGCGAGGGATAGGAAGACAATTGGGGTAGCTGCATACTCAAGTCGGTACCAAGCATATCGGGACTGTAGCGGGCTGATGACCATGGAAGTGGCTGTATGGGGTCTTTCCTACGAGCCTCGATCAGTCCATTGGGAGGTGTGAGGCATAGATGAGAACGAACGCACCACGTGGGCATAGACAACTGACAGTCAAAGCCACCATTGAAGTCCTGGAGTTTATTGTCGAGGAAGCTAATGCCCATGTCATCCAAGAATGACGGGGAGTAAGAGCGGTCGGGGCTGCTGGACGCGCTACTGCCCCCACGAGAGAGGTGTGGCGGGGTTGGTCCGCGAGAAGATGTCGGAGTAGATGCATTGATTGCAGATAGGTGTGCCCTGTTTTGCCCGTTGGTGGAGGCGTCCCGTAGTGCTGATCCCGCGCCGGACAGCATGCGGGTGCGCTCGGCAAAATACTGCTCCCGGTCGCGGTACAGACAAGCAAGATTGGCGGAACTACATGCCTCGCACTTGCCAGAGGCGGGCTGCTGGACACACTTGATTTTCTTCACGCGACTGCAGAAGGAACGTGGGGTTAGCGAGTGCTGCGTGCTGAGGCGGCTATGGCACAAATACCAGTGGTCACAAGAAGTGACGAGGCGTGGACGTTTCTTGTTCGTCCGAGTGACCTGGGGCGCTTCAATCACGAACTCGAGATCAGCCATATGGAGGACTGCAGAAGTGAAAGGGGATAGGACTCCAGGCCGAAGCACTGGGAGGCTTTATAAAACTGCGGACGGACCGTCGCATATTCAGCGGCGTCAGAGGAAGCCAGCTAATCTTCTTGATCGTCTGGTAGAGAAAGACGCCGTGGAGAGCGCAGATGGAACCCTAGCCATGGGGCACTGGAGAATTGTGAAACCTGCCGTTCCGCGGGGTAAGACGCGACAACGTCTCAGCGCTCGACCGGGCGGGTCTGGTTCTCAGTCGATCCCTTTCAGAGCTGTGTCGCGAGGAGGACGTCTAGCGCTCTGGTGCTGATGGGAGGGGCCGATCCGATGCGAGAGACAATCAGCAACCACGCGAGGGCAACACGCCGTCCGAAGCCGCATGGCTAACGGCAGTACTGACCATAGTATCACAACCCCCGTGAAAACCGCATTACTGGCTGTGAAAAACCGCCGGCACTGCCTCGAGTAGCGATAGCTCATTCAGCAGAATGCTTGAACCGATGCACATTGTCAATCGTCGAGTTATTAAGCAGTCGATGGCTGAGGTATGCATGCACAATGGTAATACTCGCCTGGGTCGGGACTCGGTCCACATGTTTGGGTCGCTTGATCAACCCCGCCATGAACGGGGCTTACGTGGTGGCAAACCTATCCGAATATGATGGCTGGTCAAAAGCGTTGACTTTGTAAGCTGCGGCCGAATTTGAATTTGTACGAGGGGTCGTTGAAGCCGTCGCCAAGCTGGAACGCGCGCGCTTAACTCCTGCGAGCCGCATTTCCAAAAACGGAATGTGCATAAGCAAGCCACCCCGATGGGATCTGATGGGAACGGCGTGCCAGCAGAGGCGTGATTCCGAGAAGCGTGACTTTGTACTACAAACTCGTCGGATGCCCTCCCCGCCTCGATGCCAAACTCAAGTCATGTCGCAAATGGGCCTGCTCGTTTCAGCTCACTTGGGCACGCGCCACTGCGGGGCTCCCCCACTAGCCGCGAACCGCCCGTCCATGTCGCCTCCCTGGCGGAGAAGAAACGGCTATGGTGGACCAATGCGTTCATCAACGGCCTCTTCATAGCTGGATGGTACGCCGCCGTACGTCTCACCCGTACACCGCACTGAATCACTGCCCCTCCAGGTTCTTCTTTGCCACACTCCTTTCGGTGTACAACAAATGGATGTTTTCACCGGACCGTTATGGCTTCCCATCACCGTTGTTCGTTACGACCGCCCACATGTGGGTGCAATTCGCGCTCGCCTCATTGCTCCGGTATACTCTGCCTCGGCATTTCCGACCAGAGCAGATTCCAACCCGCGAGGATTACATGTAGGTATCATTTAGCCCTGATTCAGGTGCCTGGTCAAGGACTCGTCTCCCTCTGCGTAAGACGAGTTCTGGAGCGGGATATCCTATCGCAACCGCCGTGCGCAACACATCTACGGGCTTGGTGGCTCACCGGATCATGCTTTGTGTACTCAGTTTGAATCGCTTCTCACCCTTTCTGTTATAGCCGTAAAGTTGTACCCACGGGCATCACGACAGGACTAGACATCGGACTATCCAATCTGTCCCTGAAGCTCATCACATTATCATTCTATAGTAAGCTGTTTGTCGCTATGACGTTACAATTAGGGCTATCCTCATGCCGTCGTGCCAGCCATGGGCAAGTCGTCATCCCTTGTCTTCGTGCTACTCTTCGCCTTCCTCCTTCGCTTGGAGAAATTCTCATGGCGACTTATCGGCGTCATCTTCCTCATCTGTGCTGGTGTCCTCTTAATGGTTGCGACGCAGACAAACTTTGTACTGGGCGGCTTCCTCCTCGTTATCTTCGCCAGTGCTCTGGGCGGCCTGCGCTGGAGCCTCACTCAGCTATTGCTGCGCAGCAAAAATATCGGGATGAACAATCCCGCCGCAACGCTCTTCTGGCTGACTCCTATCATGGGCCTCACGCTCGCCATTTCAAGCGCAGTATCCGGCGATTGGGGTAAAGTTTCAGGCAGCGACTTCTTCGCAACGCCCGGGAAGGCCTTCGAGACCGCGTTCTTCCTAACCTGTCCTGGCGTTCTCGCTTTTTGCATGGTTCTCAGCGAGTTCTAGTACGTCTCTACTGCGTCTCTAGTCTGACTACCGTGATGACCGCCTTTCACATGACAGCATCATCCAGCGAGCCGGTGTCGTCCCGATGTCCATAGCGGGCATCGCGAAGGAGGTTACTACGATTATATGTGCTGCTTGGTTCTTCGGCGATGAACTGACCCCGCTCAATATCACCGGCGTAGCGATTACGGCGTGTGGTGCGCATTAACGCCCGATGTGCCTCTGATAAGTTCCAACCTGACTAATGCTTGACAGGCATCGGATTGTATACCTATCACAAGTACCAGAACTTGATGCATTCGGACGTCGCGCTAGACCCTCACGGAAATCCCCTCTCAGAGGAGGAGGGGGTTATCTTAGACGGCGACGTGGCTCTTGAGAGCGGTGACCTTGCCGAGCGGGAAAGGCTGACCTCAAATATTGACGATGAAGACGTCAATGACGAGGACGAACGACAAAATAGAGTCAGTCCAAATCTTATCAATTTCAGCCACCTGCTGATTTTGTCCTGTCTGCAGGTTGTGAATGCGGCGCATGATGCCAACGAGCAGTTGCTGTTCGCAGTTGAAGACGAAGAAGACGAGGACGAAGATATCCCTTCGAAGCACAGGCAGCGCCTAGACTCCGTACCTCCTCCATATCCAGGAAACGAGTCTGATGTATTACACGACGTCTGGCGGGGGCATGAGGACATACATACTTCATAATACCATCATATAATCAGGGGGGATGTTGGTTACTCGGTTCGCTATTTTGCGTCTAATCTATTCACCCACGAGGCGCGTAGCTTGGATATCCGCGAAGGCTTCGTCATCGACTGTCGACGGGAAGACTAAGGTCTGGTTACTCGTATCGCTAGGATCTGGCGCCTCTTCGTTGGCGGAGAAGGGGTTCAAGTGAAGTGTAAGCGCAGCAAGCCGTGGTGCCGGTGCGGCACTGCTATTGGGACACCGCACTTTCGGGTCGCCTTGTTTTCCAAGGCATAGCACACCGCCACACTTAGCCTCCGCCAGGTGCACGTGGCAAGTGCTACGACTGGATTACGGACAATGCATTGCTGCTGACAAGCAGCTCGTCATACATGACAAAGTATAGCAGATAGGCATTGTCCAAGACATCTTGTAACATAGCGCACGGGAACGTCAAAGCATGCTAATTCACTTCACTTCGTTCCGACCCCGGATCACTGCTCTGCCGTACTGTCACGAAGACTGTAAACTGACTATAAGGCGAGATGCCCCTACAAAGCAACGGCCTGCGAATGAAACTGCCGTCAAAGGGTCCTGAGGGGATTCCCGAGGAAGGCACGGCGCTTCGGAGATAGTGGAGAGCCCGATGTAGATACTCGGGGGGACAATCGTGACTACAGAGGGGCAAAAAAGCACTTCATACACCGTTTATCGTGGCGCCATTTTGGCCTTCAGGGGGCAGCCCTGCAGACTGAGGGTCCACCGGGACGTCGGCTGTGGGTGCAGCGATGGAGATCCGACTGGGGTCCCTCCTAGCCATCCCCTCTTGAGCCAACTGAGTCAACAGACGTGTGAGGACCTCCTTACCATGTACGCCAATGATCGAACTGCTTCTGATTTAGATACTCCCGCCATTCGTCTTTGCCGATCTCGGTCCTGAACTCGGGGTGTTGGAGCAGCTCTAGATGATGGAGGGCGTGTGGATACCTAACATCAAGGCATCAGAAGCATTTCACAAAGATATCGCAACTATCGACCCACAAGATGAACCGAGCGTAGTCCTTCTCCTTCCAGTACAGTAAATACTTCAGGAAGTTGATAAACGCGGGCTGGTTCAGGATGCCTTGTTGCGCCAGCGAATGCAAGTAGAAAGGATTTGCTAGCGACTGAACAAATTCGAGCTCAAGCTCAAACCGTGCCCTATTCGCGCTCCGTGCATCTGAGGGTGGCTCGGGCTGAGACATGGTCAAGCCGTCCGACGCCAAAGCGTTCGCTTGACGGTGGTTGTTTAGCCTAGAGGCCAATCGCAAACAAACAACCGAATTAGGTAACTTGGAGGGTCACATGACCGGCGCGACGCGTCAGTCGGAGCGTGGAGGCCTGCCACAACGCATCCGACACTTTCTGTTTCTCATTCACGACCGCCACCGACGACTGCAACGTTGCCGTAGACACCATGGCCGCAGACGACGATACAAGTGGCTGGCAATTGACCGAGTCTGACCCTGGTGTCTTTACGTGCGCTCGAGGACGCTTCTAAACGTAAAACTCGATCTCACGATGTGTTTGCAGGGAGTTGCTCAAAACCCTAGGCGTACCACTTGTCGTCGATGACCTCTATTCCCTCGATGCGGCCACGCTCACAGAGTTCCAGCCCTTGCACGCGCTTATCTTCCTCTTCAAATGGGTATCAACTGAATCGGCCGAGCCTTCCGTCGGCGGGCAGTACGATCCGGACTTTCCCGGTTTCTTTGCCCACCAGGTCGTCAACAACGCTTGCGCTACGCTAGCGGTGATGAACGCCATTGCGAATATTCCTGGACTCCAGATGGGCGCCCAGCTTTCGGAGCTATTCTCGTTTACGGCTGGCATGGATCCGCAGACTAGTGGCATGGCCATCACGAGTTCGGACTGGCTACGCGAAGCACACAATGCCCTGTCGCCGCCGTCAGCGATTTCGCTGGACGGCTTGGACCTCCCGAAGTCGACCGAAGATGCATACCACTTTATTGTGTATATCCCTTATGCGGGCTCTCTCTACGAGCTTGACGGCCTCAAACAAGCTCCTGTGAGCCACGGCGCTTACTCTGAAGCTGGCGAAGGCTGGGTTGCGAAGGCTAGGTAGCTCAAATTGCCTTATCGGTCCGGTGTATTGAACTGACCCATTGATTGCTCGGTGATAGGGAGGTTATAGAAGCCCGCATAGGGACTTATCCCCCGGGCTCGGTGAGTACTAATCTCCTCGACTCGTTTTCCAACATCTAAAGAGCAAATGATCCCTATCCTGTAGCTTGAATTCAGCCTTCTTGCTGTCCACGATGACCCCTTACCCCGCCTCCAAGAGCAGCTTACCCAACTGCAGTCGGCTGGTCGGCAGGCAGAGGCCAGCGAATTGATGATCAGACTTGCCAACGAAAACTCCAAGCGAGAGCGGTGGGCGGTAAGCATAATATTGAGCTTGTATCCCATTGTTCTTCTGCGTGTCTTGACACAAAGTTTCGTCGCAGTTTGAGAACAGCCTTCGGAGACACAACTATCTAGGCTTCATTCACGCACTTCTCCTCAGCATGGCGAAGGCAGGCACCTTAGATGGTGCTAAAGAAGGCGCGAAGAAGGCTCTACAAGAGCGAATAGAAAGGAGGAGGAAGGGCGAGGCCATGGACGAGGATTAGTCGTACATTGTTGCGTACATTGCATTTCTGTCTCATACAATGTCTTCGACAATTTCCTCAGGGTGGCCACTCGGTGCTGGGCTCGAACAGGATCACGAAATATCTACAAGTAGTAGCTTCGCCATAGCTACTGTGCGATGTTCTCGCTGCTTTGCATAAGCAGCGGACTAGTCGAATATTTGGCAAGCATGTTCACAGCTAGCCGCGTTATGCGATATCGTCGCGCGCTCGATCGACTTGAGGCGCTGTCGCGCACGGCATAACCCCCGGGTCATGCCCGTCGATATTTCGTGATAGAGGGCGCTTGACTTCTATAACGACTGTCAGTCTAGGCTGTAGAGGTTTACCAATGCAGTACATACTGATGCCCACGGCTACGTAGAGCACCCATTTTTGCGGCACTGCATTTGCTTATGTCGTCGGCCTATTCCTATTCACTTTGCCGCCGGCCTGTGGCACTGATTCCAAATGCTGTCAACGCGTGCTCTGTTTTGTACGTATGCAATTGATTTTGACAATGCCTTGCATCGAGTTCGCAGCTCGGGCGGCAAAGACTCCCCGGACCGATGATTTAGCCTACTCCGCGTCTACCGGATTCCAGGTGACGGCACCGTCTTTGCCATTGTCTAGTCCATCAAGCAGCTCAATGTCTTCCACATCGAGTGAGAAGTTGTACAAGTCCGCGTTCGAGCGGATGCGGGTCGTTGTCGCTGACTTCGGCAGCGGCACGTAGCTATCGAAGTGCCATGATGGTCAAATCACCAGTCCCAAGGTCGGAAAAGAAGAGCACGACGCTGCCGAAGACACTCACCCCTTTTGCAGGGACCACCGCAACAGGATCTGCGCCGGTTCTCGCTTGTGCTACGAATCCCTCGCAGTTCACGGTCTGCCCCCAGCACGCGACTGTCATGCGTCCATGATACTCACCTTCTGGGCGAGTCGCTCAATGACTGGGTGATCGAGCTGTCCACGGACCAATGGGGAGTATGCCTGGACGACTATGCCCTTTTCGCGACAGTACGCCACTATGGGACGTTGCTGGCAAAATGGATGAAGCTGGAAAGACAATCGCATATTCCTCGTACATGAATTGTCACAACCGACGGGCGTCCGAACCACTGACCTCGATTTGATTCACCGACGGCGTCTTTAGACCGGCGTTCCGTAACTCCTCTAGGTGCTTGATCCCACTGATGGGAATACGCAGTGTCGTCATACATGGACATCGAACGGCGAGGCTGAGAGAACTCACAAGTTCGAAACGCCGACTGTGCGTATCTTCCGAGCTCGTTGCGCGTCAAGGAGCGCGCCGTATGTTTCTAGTCGCAGATCCCGCCCCTTGAAAGGGTCATGGATCAGGAAGAGATCAATATAGTCTATGGAAGCATCTTCAAATTCAAGACCGCTCTCCACGCAGGCACAGCACATGCCTACTCCTAAGCGTTCCAGTGAGACGTCTACTGCATGGGAAGTCTTCTCGTATCCATGCGTCTTGCTGATGCACTTCGTTGCTGCGCAAGAAATGGAAGTGATGCTCAAGTGACCACTAACCCAGCTCGCGATCAGGACAGCGTACTGAGAAAGACCTCCTCACGGGGCAGACCGCTCGCACGGAGGGCACTTCCGACGCCGGCCTCGTTCCTATACGCCTGCGCAGTATCCACGAGCCTGCGAGATGCACATTCATTCCGCCGACACGACTGCCTCGATAGGAAGCCTGACGACCTACCTATATCCAGCGCGAAGCGCTTCCAGGACAGAATCGTGAGTGGTGTAGTTTTGATACACTCCAAATCCCAGCCGCGGCATATCGTAACCTGTTGGTAAGCATAGTCAATGCAAGACCCTTCTCGGGCCGGGCGTCCAAGTTTTGTGATAGCCTGAGCGATTGCATTCACCTGTCGACAAGCGAATTGATGAGGTCACCGCAAGCGTCTCTACCGACATGTAATGCGATTGAATCGACGTAGTAGCAACGGTTGTATGATGATACCGTGTTCGAGTCTTGACACGGGTATAGAGTCAGCAGTGGCTGTCAGAGATAACATGTAACAAGTCGGGCGGTCCGCTCATGGGCGGCTAACGTTTCCTTCTCGCCGGCTTTTGCGCTGTGGCAGATCGTCTCAGCTCAATGGTACTACTAAGATCTCATAGCTTGCCAGATATCATGTTGAAGTCTACATTAGTTCCGTGTGTTTACAGCGACCTCGTATCTCATATACTGTGAAACCTGCACACGAATGTCAGTCTCAGCTGTACGGTGGAGACTACAAACTCTACTTCATGACCATACACACGTTATAGATGGACGACAGGTAGCCATGATCCTCAAACATTCAACCGCCAGGACGATGCGGTATTGAGCAAGTTGTGCATGGAATAAGACGGGAACAAATGTCTCAAGACGGGTTCTCCACCGCCCGGTCAATTGAGGAGTTGCTCCCGCTGGCTGCGCTCACGCGTTACGTCCAGCCACCCCACATCATAAACAAGACTCAGAAGACCTAATTATCGGAGTGCCGTCGGAAGATCCAGAAGCCCAGAAGGTGGTCTGTAAGCCGTCCAGGTAAGCTGACAAATGTCACTACAAAGAACAGCTTCCTACAACGAGGGTTAGGGGCGAAAGGAGAGGTGAACCCCTCATGGGCTATTTGCCCACAGTCTATCCCTCGTTGTAGTCTCTACGATAGCCAACGATGCAGCGATGGCTCGAGAAGCACGCATGCATGTTATTCTACGGTAGCGGACCACGTAAAACTCAGGACGCGCATGTACTATCGTGTTCTTGAGGTTCTACGGGGAGTAGTCGCGTTGAACACTCGTAGAGTTTAATACTCTCGACCTCCCACTCCGCCACTCCCTACCCCGCCCTATGACAGGCCTGAGTCAGTCTAGCCAAATGAAAAGGTCGTCAGTTTTCGGATTTCGAGCGCCGCTCGGCTGCTGCACACACGAGGCTACCAAACACCGCGTCTCGCGTACCCGCCGGCTGCAAGTCCGCATGGGCTGGAGGCTTCATCGGCACGCAAGGAGCGAGCGAGCTGAATACTCGATGGCGCACACACAGAGCTATTTCAAGGCGCAGGCCGGACAAGTACATCAAGAAGCACATTTTAAACGCATTACTGTCCTCATACAACTGCGTAATACACTTTCCAAAGCCACCTATAACGTCCCTTGAGCTTGCTCTCCCTTCTCGCATCATCCGCAAGGTCGGCCGCTTCCTCCTCGTGCTCATCTCGCTTCAGATCCACAGTCCTGACGTCGACGGCGTCGTTGTACGTCAGGAAGTCCCATACGCGACGGGACAAGCTTTTGCGGGCGGGCCCTGATGCTACCTGATCGCCGGTCGGAAGAGAGACAGGTGCAGACGAGGGTGATGGTCGCCATATGAGCATCCACAGCAGGTACATGACGAGCATGACGGGGATCTCGATGTAAAACGACACGAAATCGACGGCGGAGAACTTGGGTATGACCGAGGACCACCCTTGGACTAAACGGCCACACCATGGCATGAGCCGTATGTTTCGCAGGAGGGATGGGTAACTCACCAATAATAATTACAACCACCGCAATCACCACGAAGTAAGGGCCCCATGGCCACGTCCAGCCAGCCCTGAATTTCATCTCACTGAGGGGGCGACCCTGGCGCACCCAAGCACGCCGGAACTTCCAGCTGGCCAGGCCGATCGACACCCACGCGATCTGCGGCGAGCGAGAACCATGAGCTGAGATGTATATTGGCTAAAGGGGAGGAGACACACTTGGTTTGAGACGCCGACGATGTTCTGCAGCCAGCCCCACAGCTCGCCGCTGCCGATGAAGCTGGAACCAAAGCAGAGGATACTGATGCTGCTTGTCGCTAAGAGGGCATACAGCGGGATTCCAGCAGATGTGGTCTTGGCAAAAAAGGCAGGAGCCTGCCGAGGCGTGATCACGGAGAGCCCATAGAGTACTCGTGTCCCCGCGAACAAAGCGTGGTTGCCAGCGGACAGCACGGACGTCAGGATCACTGTATTCATGAAGGAGCCCGCTACGTCTGTGTACGATATTAGCAATCATGGTCACGACTTGGGTAGTGTGTTCACATACGAGATCCAGCCAACTGGAAAACGATCGTGAACGGCGATGTTGTGACCGCTTTATTCGACAAGTTGGGGTAGTTGTAAGGCACTGCGTTGATGCGCCAGGAGAGGTTGTCAGTATGGTGGACAAACTGTAAGGACATGAGTATGTTCATGTTGTAACGCACCGTTTAGACCCATCAGCAGGATACTGAGAATATAGAAAAGCAGGATCCTGAGAGCCGTTTGCAGGAAGTTAGATCAGATGCACAATGTGCTACAACCTTGTACTCACCGCCAAAACACAAATTTCACGACTCGAGGCATATTGCGAGACGGGTTCTTCGTTTCACCAGCAGTGATACCGAGAGACTCAGTACCGCCATCTGCCGACATGTCAAGAAGGAATGCATTCCGAGGTGCGTAGTGTACGTACAAGCGAAGCTCGCAGTCACGAACACCCGCGCGAAACCACCAAAACCACCCACGAAAGGTGCACCAGGTATGTGCCAGTACTTCGCTCCTATGTACTCGTGCGCTTGGTTGCCTCCCACGTTCACAACGATACCGAGGATGATGAAGATGACGACAGTGATGACCTTCAGAGACGCAAGCCAGTATTCTGCAAGTATGCATAACACTCAACAGCCGCGTTCCGCGGCGAGCACATGGCTACGCACCTAGTTCACCGTAAGCACGGACGTGGATTGAGTTGACCGCGACAAGGAAGACCCAGAAGATCAAACTGACGACCCAGGTGTGCCAGGTTGTCCAGTATTGGAGGACGAGCTGAGCCGCTGTCAGGTCCGACGCAACCGAGACGGCATCGTTGAACCAATAGTTCCAGGACAGAGCGAATCCGTAGGAAGGGGAGAAGAACCGGGTGGCATAAGCATTGAAGGAACCTAGCAGACTCACGTTAGATCACGTCTTCAAGACCAAAATCCGCGAAATTGTGATCCTCAGATGGCTGATGACGCTGCAATACGCGCCGTAGTGGAGGGTAAGCAGGACAGCGTGACTCACCGGCAACCGGGTATTGCGTGGCCATTTCTCCCAGCAAGAGCAGGGTGATATAGACGATGAACCCAACGATGCCATAGCATAACAATATGCTCGCCGGCCCTCCTTGTGCTAACGAACGCCCCGTACCCAGAAAAAGACCCGTTCCGATCGTCCCAGCTATGGCAATCATGGATACTTGTCGGGCAGACAGTTCTCGGTGCAAGCCCTGCCTATCCACCGGCGGGACTGGCAGCGCTCCGACAGGTCGCTCTGCATCTCCAGGGAGTGATTCCGGATATTCGGTGTCGGTCGTCGAGGCTGCCTTGGATTTCTGCGCGTCGAAGCCAGCGGGGGGAAGAGGGACGGTCTCCTGATCATGGTGGCTGGAGGCAGACATGGCCCAACGTCTGAGTTTGAGCATGTCGCAGATCCGGCTTGTAGAACGCGGACAAGCTTCTCGTGGAAAATGCGGCGCCGAGAGGGAATAGAAAGCACGAGGCACGAGCCGCAGAAGAAGAAGACATTATGTAGAGCACAGAGGACCCTGTCAAGTTTTCTGCAAAGACGCTAGACATGAGGCGGATTTGTGGGGAGATGGCGCAAGAACATGATCCGACGACCTTAGCCGCTCGTTGCAAGGCTCTTCAACACCTCCGACAACGACTTCGGTCAATGGCGTAATGTGGCCTCCGCAGCGCCATGGCTCCGACGTACTCCAGATGCACATTCGCTGCCACAATACGATATATGAAGGTGTCCCGATTATTTGTACAGGTATGTTACAGGCACACATGATTCCGAAAAATGTCTGGGAAGATGGGACTGCTAACATGCCAGACAGTGCAACCGCGGTTTGTCACAGACCATTCCAGCTATGTACGAGCATGACATCTACTCAGGGACGGAAGAGCGCGCGATTCCCTTCGAGCTTGATGAACCGTATGTGCTTCTCACCCTCCTTGTCTCCACTCAGACTAAGAGTGGCAAGCCGTGAGCCACAATAAAGCACAAGCAGTGAACTAAAATGCTACGCACGAAGCTTGAGCAATGATCACTTCTGGGATACTGCTACCAGGCGGGGTGAACTCAAGTTCTGTGCTGAGCTATCGCATCAGGTTAGCATGCAATCGTGCCGTATACGGAACGAGCAAGCGGACATACCACATCGTGTTGCAGTAAGCAATCGTTCCCCTCCTGTTCGACCTTCACATCCTCGGGAGTCCACCTCTTCTGCAAGGCTAGGAGACCTTCCTTCAAACCTTCCCTGTCCACCGGATGCCCACAGATGGTCCCGTGAGCTGTGCTTGTGAAGTACTGCTCGAACCGCGTGGTGAAAACGTCCATAGGCCCAGGACCAAGTCGCATGCCCCCATGTGGTGGCATGGAGACATGTGGAGATGCCATCAGCTCGCAGAGACATTCAGAGAGCCAATGGCTAGGCGATGTCGAGATGGAATGGCTAGGCGGTGTCGAGATGGATGACATTGCGGGGATTGAGGTAATTCGGAGTAAATGTACAGATATTGTGGTGTATTGAAAGAACGAACACTCAAAAGTGTTTTGCTCCTATATATACATCATGGCTACTTCCCGAGAGTGTTCGAATCGAGACCAGCCGAAGACTTGGACTGGTTCTAGTGGAGACATCTCGCGTTACAATCTCAGGGGCCGAAGTATGCAATCGGATTGGATATTAATGTGAGCATACGACACTGGGTCCCGTCCAGTCTCTTGTACGGCCCGCCGTGTAGAGGGCGAGAGTAGTAGTCTCGAGCTGGCTGGAGTTGAGTGGGTGACATTGAGTGGGGCCGAGACCTAGATCCACGGTCCCGTAAGGCCGATGCGATCATTAGACCGAGCATAGTCTCAATCTCCAGATGTCGGCACCGCACACAGCTTGAAGACAGAATAGAGATCAAGCGAAATGGGGGGTTGCTGAAATTCTCGAATGCGGTTCCTGCTCTCCGGACAAACATATCCATCGTCACCAGATCAACATTTCACAGTCGCACCCTGCGAACACCACCAGCCGGCCATACCCTACGGATACACCAAGAGACACGTCGCATCTACGAGTACCCTACGTCGTACTCGCCCGTCTCATCCGCAATCCTCGAGTTGGGATAGGTCTCGTAGATCGAGTTCCTCCCAACCACGAAGACGGCCCGCCCAACAGCCCCCACCATCGCCGCGCGCAGCGGGTCCAACACCGGCACCTTCGCACCTTCGAGCGCCCGCACCGTGTACGCACTGAGTACGCACAGAGAGACCGCCCACACATGGCTGACCGGACGACGCACCGCCGGAGTCCAGAAGGACGGCGTCCACCGCCTCCTCAGCTCTGTCGCCGGCGCGAAGCTCTTCGCTTCCTTGCATGCCCTGTAGCGGATGGCGAACGGGATGATGTACACGGCATACAGACCGATGACCTGGGCGTATATGAAGAGCGAGGCGATGTTCGACATCGTGGAGAAGGACGTCTTGACGAGGTCGCCAGAGGGGTCAAGCCGAGGATAGATACCGGCGATCCAGCGGAAGACAATGTGCGCGAAGATGAAGGTGAAGTACCGGCACCAACCCCAGGCGCTTAGGAAGGACAAGGGCATGATGATCTTCCCCAGGAACATGAACCTCTCGTAGGATTCTGGTGCTGGACGCAGAGGGACGGTGGGCGAGTGCTCCTCACCGGTAGGCGAGAGGTCGTCCGGCTTATTGAGTAGGTCGTCGCCGGCGGTGTCGGAAAAGAGGGAGCTCATGGTAGATTGTTGCCTGAGGTGCATGTCAGATACCACCGTCGAGCTGGTAAGAAATCCGGTGGGGACGTACCAGGCTGCTTGGAATGGATGGCGCTGTATTTTCACCGCGAGAGTGTCGAACTTTATACAATGCAGTCCTCTGTGCCAGTGTCTCTTGCTCAATATGGGCTACGGTACATCTCCGACGCTAGAACTCATGATCAAGAAACTCGTCGCATTCACGAGGTGAGCTCTTGGACATTGTTGAGACGTCTTGCTTTGTCTCAGAGAGACAGCGAGAGGCGGTGCAAAGCCCTAGGGGAGAGAACATCTGATCCATCAACCCCCTCGTGTTCGACACGAGGAAACAAGCATCGACCGGTGTAGAGAACAATAGCTGATCGGACTGAGCGATAGCCAACTTGCGCGCGGTCCTCATGCATGATCAGATAGAACAATGAGAAGAGGGAGGCCGGTGTTCACACGCACCTTCCACGCCCATCTGCGAACCCCCGAATGCGCCATATCATACATCACCAGGCTCCTAACCAGATGTCTACGCATAACATGGAACGGCAACGACTGAAATTGCGGATAGCACGGTTAACAACACTGCGATAGCACGAGAACAAACCGAAGTAGACGTTTGAGGGGGCCCGGGAGCCAGGAATGGAACATTTCTGTGCCGCGGTCGCTACTCTTCGTCGCTCTCGAACTCCAACGCTTGGTATTTGCGGGCCTTTTTCCCAGGGTTCGCGAGCGACGCACCCTTCGCTCTCGACACGGCGGCTGCTCCGTTCTCTATATCAGGAAGAGTGATTCACATAGCCGAGCGAGACGCATGACAACCAGTGGCGCGCCGCAAGACGAGCGATGAGAAAGACAATATGCATCAGAAGATACAAGACAGAAATTATCAGAAGCCCGCACGCCAGTAAGGCGGCGGACGAGCGACTTACTGGGCATCAACTTCGCCGGAGTGGTCATGAGGGCGTTCTGTTTGCGTTTCGTCTTTGCCAATTCGACCTTGAGGGACTGTATCTTTTCCTCCGCCGCTTCAAGCTCTGCTTTCCGCTTCTTCGAGCTACCCGTAGCGATATCATCTCGCTCTCTCTCCTTGCCCTTCTCCATGTTCTTGGCTCGCTGTGGGCTGCTATGCTTCGTCTCTATAGGCGGCTCAGGACCAGGACTAGGTGTCCGTCGTATATGCTTGTTCCCAGGAGAACTTGAACCTGTTTTCCAGCTATAAGCGACCCTGCACAGACTCAATCTATGCATTACGAATTTCACCAGCTGAAAGGGCCTTCGGCGGAATGTCGTACGTTGACGAGGATAGCGCTGACGGGTGGAGGCGACATCGTCGGGACTGAGCCTGCAGCGCAATCTAGTAGTGGGAAACCCGGATGATGGCAGAACAGGGAATGTGGTACGTGGATTGAGACATAGCCACATTGTGTTTAGGACCATCCTACCAATAATTGCATTCCGAATAACGTACCTCAGCGAAGACTTTAGTGGCGTATGCGGCCGCCTCCTCCGCGGAAAGTTCAACCAGTGGAATCCGGATAGGCGTCTTCGCAATCGTCCGGATGACCAGCTGTTACAGGTTCCGCGTCGGCTTTCAGCATGCACGAGCGGACAGTACGCAGGGGCATGTGGGAGCGGGCTCGGTGGTGTCCATACCTCAATGTCGGCGCCCGTTGCGGGACTCCAGTCTCCCACAGTAATGTTGCCCTGCACGAACGCGTTCGCGAGGTTCTCTACGAAGGACTCCAGGAGAATGGAGGACGTCTGCCGACCCTGCGTGGACGTATGTGGTTCAGCATGTGATGGGAGACATGGCCGGCTGCATACTACTGTGTTGCGAACGTCTTTGTCTGTCCACCTTCCAAGCCACCATCTTCCCTGGTCTCCAGTTAGGCCAACGTGGACCGTCCAATTGTCGTCATCCACAGAGGACAGCACCACGAAGCGCGCGGAACCTTGGTAGACAACTTGGATAAGCTCGTCAAGTGGCGTGAAATGGGGAAGGAGGTCGGAGTCAGACATTTGTTTGTCGAACAATTCCTCGTCGCATACGAAATACTGTCCAGAGACAAAGGCGCGCGTAGGATCAAGTGCACCCCGGACAACAAACGCGAGTTTGAGGATCTAATCTAATCTCTCGGAAGATCGGCCCTGACTTGTCCTGGAGTCGTGCAGATTCCCCCTGAGGTTCTTAGCAATCACATCTACCTCTGTCAGACAGTGTCTTGGGCAAGTCTGACTCACAATTGCCTCCTGCAGCTCTGCAGCGTAACGAGGACACGAGGATCCGCCCCTCCATAGCTTACTACCTCGGGAAACACCCGAAACTAACCAGAGCCTGGTCATACTCTAGCCTCGAACGCAATGAAAACACGCGTTGTTCTGATCGGTATCGGGTGCGTATCGCTTGCTTTAGAAGGGAAGCAGACATTCACCGGATGGCAGAGGGGCAACGTGCTCCGGGAAGACCACTCTGGCGAAGCACCTCCGACGTATATTGCCTGACAGTGTCATTATACACCAAGATGTATGCATATGCTACTACTGGCAGGACAAGGGACGAGGGGTACTGACAGAACCATCCATCTCGACTTGTAGGATTTCGCACCAGTTTGTGGTCCATCAAGTTGTTGCGGATGATTCATACGATCGAGCACGTACTTCTGCAGCCTCAAGAACTGGTTCCAGTGCACCCCATGTATGGTGTGCAAGATTGGGACCGCGCAGAAGGCGCGATAGAATGGCCCAGGATCATCAAGGCACTAGAAGAGGTGAGCCTCCTCATACCGATCGGAAGCAATCAGCAGTAGTCGCTAAGAACAACGTAGGTCAGGCGAACAGGAGTGATACCCCCAGAGCATGTGTCGCACGACCATCTCAACGCGCAGAAGGATGTGCCCATAGACGAAACTACATTCCAGAAGTGGAGAAAACGGTTCGAAGAAGTAGAGCAGGAACACCGAGAGAGGGGGGAGGAGGTCAAGTGGGTAATTGTGGATGGATTCCTACTGTTTTGGGAGCCGGTGAGTCAAATTGTGGACACAGTACCTAGCCTGGAATTGACGAGCAACTCTTGCAGCAAGTAGTTGAGAAGCTTGATCACCGCATCTTCCTCCGGGTACCCCACGACGTCCTCAAGCAACGGAGGCACGAACGGCATGGGTACCACACTGCAGGTAGGAGCTCGTCCCTCCGCTGTCCCCGCGGCGCCCGTCCTAACGCTCTTCCTCCTTTCCGCCTCCCCGACCTATCCCGATGTGTGTCTCCGTAAACCCGCACCCGCGCTCTAAATCCGCCCTTTCGCCGCCGGCTGAAACGCGCACTGCGATGAACCGCCCATTGGAATCCCGGAGCTCAATCTGATCCAGAGGGCAGCCTTTGGCGCGATCCGCCGAATTACTGGGAGCAGATCGTCTGGCCGGCATATGTCGCCGCGCACGAGCAGATTCTCGAGAACGGGGACGTCGAGCACGGGAAGCCCAATGGCAAAGTTCCGGGGCTGCTGCTGTTCGAGGGGCTTGAGGTGGGCATGAGCGAAATGGTTGAACGGGTGTGTAGCGTGCTCGATACAGGGGCGGTGGGTGGAGATTAGCTGTACACAGGGAACATAGACTTCATTTTCTTCGTGAGCTTGGGATGGGATCGTTCCTCGCGGCGGAAGCAACGGAGCAATGTGAGGGTAATTTGTATTGGGGAGGTTCACGTGTCACACAGTATTGGCGACAGTGGCCACGTGTGACAATGCATGACCTAAACCAGTCAATGGCCGAGATGGGGTTTGAGCTGCGCAAGTCGCACACAACAGGACCTGATGCTAAAATGAGCAAGGAG